TTTAAGAAATAATAATTGAAAAAAGTTATTATTAATAAAAATTTTTTTATAAAAGATATATAATAAAAATTTTTATATTTAAATAAATTCTAATATAATAATATATATTTAGTAAAAGTATTATTATTATTTATATATTTAATATTATATTAAATCTTTTTATTTAATTATCTAATTATAAAAAGCTATTGATATTATCAATTTAATTTCAAGTTTCAAATAATAACTTTCAAAATTTACTAATAAAACTTTGTATTTTTACTAGATATAATTGCTAAAAATATGTTATATAGTTTAAAATTAGTTGTAAAAAATATTTTTATAATATCTAATACTATTATTATAGTAAATATTATTATATAATAAAAAATAAATAAAATTTTATAAAATTTTTCAAATATGAACTTGTTTTTGATTAAGGCTCAAGAGCATGTCTATATATATTAATTTTGGGATACATGATTAAGTTTATATTTTAGTGTGGTGGGTTAAAGGACTTTTTAATTTAAAAAACAATGAACTAAACATTCTTTTAAAAAAATAATTATTTGCGGGTGATCTGATGATCAAATTATGTTAATAATGCTATTACATGTATTATGAAATAAATGCATATCGATATACTTGTATTTGTTGGACAATGTTCTAATGCTAAATGCGGGAATTTTAGTTTGATACATGTATGTTCTAATTTTTCGTTGGACTATCGCTATCATTCAGGAAAGCGTGTGGCGCAATTAGGAAGATTTACATGCAAACAGTAACAATATGCATTCGCTTTGTTATGTTATCTAGGAAACACAAATTTCTTCCGGTATCCATCGACCGAAAACCAGTTCGGAGAATTTTTCCCGATATTTCTAAAAAGAAAATGACAATAGCTTATCGCTATTTTAAGAAATCACAGTTTCTCCATATTTGGGAGGGTTTGGTAAACAGATTCGCATTAATAATTCCGGAAAATAATCCAATTAGATGTACAGTCGCCACGGAAAGTAACGGCCGATTTTTTTAAAAAATAAAATTTCGGATTTATTTTATTTCTGTCTTATGAATATAAAAATATATTTTTTTATCACTAGCTAATACATTATTAGCTCTTCATATGGCTCTAATATCGCTTTGATCAAGACATTGAGCCTACAACCTCCTAAAAAGCCAACACATCGAATTTCCTTCAGAGTAGTCTTGAGCTTTTTCGCGAAGCTTATGCACTTTAGAATATTGTTCTCAGATGACTTGGAGATATTTCTATGAAATTTGGGTCATGAGAACAAAATATTCTCTATTTGATTCTTCTTTCCCTAATGTAGATCAAGTTTTATTTTTTTGAAACATCAAATCAATGAACAAATTATATAATGAAAAGGGATCAAATTACCTTATTTGGAATAGCATCCTAACATTTTTCAATAATAAATTTCCATCAGCTAGTAATATCATCTGATATAATAGATTATAAAATTCTAAATTATTGTTTCATTTATATATAATCTGAAAGCTTAGAATTTGGGGTTTTTAATTTGAATCATTGGTTGTGCTTTAATTCTTGTCGATCATTTTATAGATGATCTTGTTTTTTGTCAGGGAATGTAATGGTATTTTAAATAAATATGAATACTGTATTTACATAAATAATATAATCTATAATAAAGAAAATAAAAATAAATATTGTCATGTCATTTATTATCACTAATTGCACAGTCATCTAGATTTGAATCATATTGACTAAGCCGAAGTCTCGCTTGTACTTGTTCTCTAATCATTGGCATTTGATGTTCTTGAAGATATTTAATCGATGTACTACGCTCATTTTGAAATTCTTGATATTCTTGCGTATGTTCTGGGGGTGCGTTATATTGGAGATTTGCAGCGTATAATAACGCGGATTGTCTCTCATCAGCGTCCTTAAATTCTGTGTAGTCTTCTTTGAAGAAATACCAACTTTCGGTGGTCTCGAATAATTCCCTTGTCGTAGGACGATCATTCGGATTGCCTTGCCAACATCTCTTCATCAATTCAACCCATGGTTTTGGCGTGTCTTTAGGAACATTTGGCCGTTCACCATCCCAAATTGCACATTGAAGGAGTGCATCCTGATTAAACACATTTCTACGAAAAGGAACTTTGCCAGGTGCACTCAACTCCCACATCAGAATGCCTATGCTATAAATATCGGAAGCCTTTGAATGTGGTTGACCTCGGAAAATCTCGGGTGCAGTGTATTGTATTACTCCGTAAGTACCTTTGCCCGTTGTATGCGGTCGGTAACAAGGCCTGGCAAGTCCTAGATCGGCGATATAAATTCGTCTAAAGAAATCACGTTCGTAAAATTTATTGTCGAAAAGAATGTTTCCTGCGTGTAAATCTCGATGAATAACGTCCTTGTTGTGGATGGTAAGTAACTGCTGTGATATCCCATAAAGCAGTTCGATTCGATCTCTCCATGAAATTTTTCTATGATTTTGACGGAGAATGGAACGTAAATCTCCTCCTTTCGCGAATTTAAGAACCATCATGTATTCGATGTTATTGGGATCGTAAGTAATTCCGAATATGTGAAGATGTGCATTCATGTCATTACCAAAGCATTGATGGTAATTTTGTAGCTATATTGATAGGAATAAAAAATAAATACAATTAAAATTAATAGAAAAAATAAAAAAAAATGACCAGCATCTCTCTGTAATTTAGTTATAGATTGCTTACGAAAATATTATTTTAAAGTCATAAACTCTGTGAGGTTTTACATCAACAAAAAGAATTAAAAATACTTCAAGTTACCTCGTTTAAAAATTCTTTCGACATGAATTGAGAATTTTTCAAAGCTTTTAACACTACTTTGTCTCCTGCATGAAAACGCACCGCCTTTATAGACTTTTTTTGTACCTCGTCAGTTAACTTCGCCGTATACACTATACCGAATCCGCCTGTGGCTAAATATGTCATATTGGTGATTGAATCAAATTCTACCCATTCTATATAATTGAGATGTTTATTCGCCTTCCGTTGAGTTTCTCGAATAAATTCGTTAATATTATCGTCACCGCTATTCCATTGGGCGAAGTTTACCTCTAAAATTTTTCTATTACAAGAATTACACCAATCGTAACTTAAATTTGGTCTCGCGCAAACTTTACAGTACCCAAAGTGATTAGCTTTTTCTCGAAGACTGAATATTGACTTTGCATCATTATCAAAATCGTAGTCGAGCTCGTATATATCTTCTTGATAATCGTCATCGCTGCCATCGTCCGAAAAATCGTCCTCGACGAATTGAGAATACGTAACCCAATCTTTATTTTCGTACCAATTCGATCCGATTTTTTGATTTCCGGTCAGATGTTTATCGATATATTCATCAAATGTGCCTTTTTTAAAATCATAAGAACAGACTATACACCAAAAAATTGATTTCTGAATTTGATTACAATGAGGGCAAATACGAAAAAAATATCTATCATTTTCTTTGCTAAGACTATAGTTTATACTGCTTGGATTAGTCATTGTGAACAATTTTTATAATTAACCAAAGAGGAAGACAGCTTTTTTTTTAGTTTAAAGTAATTTTTAAATTAGCATATTTTGCCGCCTCATTTTTAAATTTATAAACGGAACTAGTCACGACCAAGATCCATTAAGGTTCATTCGACGCTATAAGAAACAAACACATAATGCACGGAAATTCTAAATACATGTACATGTAATGTGTACAATCAATCAAAATTAGAAATTATACGACAATGGGATTTTTATTTTATAATATCGGAAAAGATTGACCGAATAACTAGTTTGTATCATGATTTCGGAAAAGTTTTACCGGTCGCACAGAATCAAGGATTAAATACCCATTAATCATCATTTTATTTATGATACATGAAAGAATAAAAACCGAGAACAACAATATTGGCTACTATATGTTACATTGTTATTTCTATAAATATATTGTTAAATAGATAAATTTTGCAATTTTCTTTACAAGATTTAAATATCTAATTAAAAATATTTGAATATTATAAATATTTAATAAATAAAAACTTAAAAACAATTTTTTTTAATTATTATATATTTTATCTACTTTATAATATTACTGCATCAAATTTTTTTATTATTTAAAAAAGATGATTAATTTTAAATATTTTAATTTTTCTTATCAAGTCAATTTTTTATAGTTAATTTTAATATATAATTTCTCTAATTAACTTTTTAATTTTCTTTGATAATAATAATAATAATAATAATTAAGTATTATAAAGCTTAAAGCAAGAAATCTGAAAGAAAAAAATTAAATATAGAAAAACTTTTGAAAAGCAAAAAATAAAATATAGAAAAACTTTTGATATCTAAACTAAATTATAAATAAATTAGTAAAAAAATAATAAATATAATTAATAATACTATTAATATATGAAAATAATAATAAAATTATTATTATTTATAGTTAAATTTTTAGTTATTTTATAATTTTTCTAAAATAATTATTATATTTTTTAAAATAATCTGAATTAAAAATAAACTAATAATTAATTATAATTTAGTTACAATTTTCTAATTTAGCTATATGAATAATTAAATTTTAATTTTTAATTTGTTATTACAAGTTATAATTAATTATAATAATATTTTTAATCTGCATCTATTATTAAATAGTTTAATTTTTATTAAAAGCCTTATTTTATTATATAATTTTATATATAATTTATAAATATTTGAATATTCTATATAAATTTATATTTTTTACTTATAATAATATAATATTATTCTTTAAATTATTTTACAAGTTATTAATATTTTATAATTTAAAAAAATTATATAAAATAATATTTTATATTTGAATTATATATTATTATAATAATAATAAAAAATTATTAATTTTATAAAATTATATTAAATTATATAATTTATAATTCTTTAATTTTATTAATTTATTTATACTACTATTTGAATTATTTTTATTAATATTATTTTTTATCTCTTTTTAATTTTTTTTAATACTAATTTTATCTTTTAATATAATAATTATATTTAATTTAAATTTTTTTTATATTAATATTATATTAAATTTATTTTTTAATTATTTTACTTATTAAATTTAATAATAAGTTATTAATTTAAATATATATATTCTTTTTTTAATTTGATTTTTATTATTTTTTATTATATTTAATTAATTAGAAGAAAATTAAAATTATTTTTCTTAAGAAATTTTATGTTATTATGATAATAATATTATAAAATAATTAAGTTCTTAATCTTTTCCTAGTTATGCAAAATCATATTTTCTTATAATTTTCATTTATTTTATAAATATCACTATTTTTCTATTATTATTACTATATTTATTATCACACTTCTATTTTTAAACATTATATTTTATCTTATATTTGAGATCTATATTTTATTATTATTTGTAATACAATATTTATATATATAGTAGAATAGTATAGTGAAAGATTATTTTTAATT